AAAAAAAAAAAAAAAAAATAGCATGAAAAGACAAGATACAGATGGAGAAAAAAATGCAAATCCAACAAAGTCATTGTATCCTGGATATATTAAAATCTTTCAAAACTCAGTAATAAGAAACCAACCCAATAAAGAAAATGTAAGAGAAAGAGCTGAATAGGCATTTCACCAAAGAAGATATACAGACAGAAAACAAGTAAATGAATTCATCTTAATAAAACATAATTGAGTCTTAAAATGCTTCCACCAACTTCTAAGAAATCAGACCTTTTCTTCTAAATTAGAATATGTAATGTGCTAAGATATTCTTAATAGTTCCTTCTAGCTACCCTATAAAAATTTTTGTACCATAAAATATAATTTTGTATCAGCAAAGACAATCACGATAGCTCTGAACTTGTTTGATTTGTGGCTGGGAAGGCATACAACCTAATTATGAGTGCAAAAGGAAGAAGCATGTAATTTTACTTCTGTCAAGTTGTTTACAGTGAGACTCATTGACAATGAGCAAAAACTTGAAAATGGATAAGAAATTATTGTGCAGATATATTGGGAAAGTGTATTAGAAATAAACAAAAAGTGCAAACCCTTGAAGGAGCACACATGATGTTGTTCCAGGGATAGCAAGAAGCCAGTGTAGCTGAGCAAGGGAGAAAAGTGGGAGAGGATGAGGTCAGAAATGTAAACAAGGGGATTTGAGCCAGTTAAAAGGAGCCATGTAGATTCCTGGAAAGTCTTTTATTTGAATGATCTGAAAAGGCAGAGGGATGCGTAAAAAAGGAATTATGAGCAGTATATCCCTATATGGGGAAGACTGAGTCTCAGAAAGTCAAGATCTGAAAATTAAGGTTGTCAACAAATTTCTATTATTGTATCTAATTGCTACAAAATATATTGTGAGAACTATCAAAAGGAAGATGAAATCCTTGCTTCAGTGAGTTGATAATCTAGTTGAAGAACTAAACAATAACAATTAAAATGATAGAATATTTAAATTACAAGGAGCTTTCAGATAGTCTATAGCTTTTGTTTAACTGAGGAACTTGAGTCAAAAAAGGGAAAATGATTTATGCAAGATCATATAACTAGTTATTGGTTTAGGAAGAACTAAAATGCCCCTTCATTCATAAGTTCTCTTAAAGTCCAGTATATCAATGGTATAAAAGACAAGCTGAAGAAAAGACTATACTTATACAGCACTTTTGCAAGATAAATAAGCCTTTGTCACATTCACTTGCTTTCCTGACTTCCAATTTTCTGTCCTACAATTTTGAGGGAAGGAGTGAGAAGCAAAGCTAATACCTATGTTGATAAGTAAATCCACCAGTGGATCAAAAGATAAAAATCCTTCTGTATTTTGATAAGAAAAGCGCTCAAATCTTTTCATATGAAGACTATTATTTTCTTTCTAACAAAATGACTCTGTTTTCTGGAATTTTTCGAGGGCACAAAGAGAAGGATAAGGCAAGTAAATCATTATCCTCTGTGTTGATAGACCTTGCTTCCTTCAAATCAAGATCAAACACCACTGCTAGTAAAAAAATAACATCTCCTGCCAGAGTCCTCTCACTGAAGCAGTAGAACTTCCAACATGTCCCAAGATAGAGTAACCAATTAATTCAAGTGCATAGCCCAAAGATCATCACTTCCAACTCAACCCAATCAAGGATATATTACCCAAGTAAGGGTATAAAGTGTTTACAATGATGCCATCCTTATTTATACATATTAATAGGGCAAATAATCATTAAAGCAGTTTTAAACTATTAATATACTTTTAAAATTCTAATGTTAGAATATTAAACTTCAAAGTAGAACAAGACTAATGTGAGAATGTCAATACACAATCTTTAACACATTTCTGCACAATCGTTTGAACCTAATTATCAAACTGACAATTTAAAATAATTATAAAGTAACATGAAAACATACCTTTTATGCCTTTAGTAAAGGTTTAC